AGTCTGCCCAAGCCCTTGCTGTAATCTTTCTTTTTCCGCAGTCTGTAGCAACTGGTTATTTTGAGAATATGACACAGGGTATTTTTGTTTGTTACTTGAAGATACAAAATTCCTTGTTCACTGAAAAGCTGCATCTATCCCACCAACACCTAAGAAAATTTGTAAGTTTCAGTCTTCTCTGCAGCTGGAATAATGTTTCCTATAAGAAACTATACTATAGTAATCAGAAGTTGCTTTTTGTCATTAATTCTTAATGTTTCCTAGAAGAACCTCTTCCCAGGCTGGCTTCATATCTGTGTGTGAGGAGTTAATTATAATGCAGTAAGGCAAGTGTTCTAATCAAGGCTTTAGCACAAATCCTGTAGCTCAGTGGGACACAATTATCCATAGACTGTCACCTGTCTTGTAAAGCAAGAATCACAGATCATAGTGGCCTGGGTATGCTACAAATACACACTCTGCTAAGAGTGTGACCTAAAGCACAGCAAACAGTGGAGAGGAATTTGTCTCCATCCACCATAGCTGGCCACTGCCTTTCCTTCCAGATCCCTGCAGAACTGAAACTTTCATCATTGCCACAGGACATTTCAGCAGTCCCTTGGCAGGGGACACTGCAGTGTGAAGGACAAGAGATGCTCTGGAGTTCAGCAGACTGCATTTATTGAGAGATTTTTAACATCTCCTCTCCCATTACCATTACTGCCCTTCCCTCACGTATCAACAGTTTTTCTCCAGTCTAGAAAAAAAAAAAGGAGCTTTTCTCATCAAATTTCTTGTGCTTTTAATGAAACCACAAATAAGTTTAGAAATAGTTACAAAACTAATTTTTTTTTCAGAGACTTAGTTCAAGTCCTTCCATTGGACCAGCCCAAACAAAGACACTTTTGCAAATGTCCCAGCAAAAAGTGCATAGAACACAGGGACCTGTCCCTCAGGTCAGTCCAGACCTTGTCCTCCCCAAATGAAATTCTCAACCAATCAATTAGATGCTGTGAAGGAACACTTTACTTTCTTCTGTGCTACTGAAGTACTCTTCCAAGCAGAGTGCTGGAAGTCATCTGGTCTAACAGCAGCCACAAACAACATCTGTTGCCATTTCCTAGAGCCTGTGTGGCACTTGCCCCTATGAGACCTTGGGCTGCACACTGAAATCCACCGTGATGTTGATGTACAAAGGGTTGTGTTCCACCGAGAGCAGTTTATAGGAACAAGAATTCAGCCCATCTGTTTTCCATGTTCTAGACACCTGACGTAGAAGCTTCATCCTGAGGACAAAGAAGAGAAAAACCTTCATTATCATGCACAGGAGTTTTGAGCTCTTTCTCATTATTAGTAAATTTGGAAGCAAAGCTACCGACATTCTTTATCTAATGGGAATGTAAAGTCCTGTTTTTCCTCAGACATGGGGGAAAAAAGTCCTTTGGTTCAATCTGTGAAATCATATGCTCAAATCATATCCACGTAACTATAACTGGAAGTTTCTAAAGAACAGATACTTCTTAGTTCTTCTAACAGTTAGTTCTAACCCAGTTGGTTCTAAGGACATCTCATGTACAGAAGAACAGCTGCCAACTGTGAACAGTGATGTCCCCTAGAGCCTCTGGGTACCACAAAATGCCTGTGTGGCCTAGAGCCCTAGGGAATTTGGCCTCCAGGTGCCTCACTCCTAGCCACAGACCAAGACAATGCAAGATGGAAAATGTTCTTGACTCACCTCTCTCGATTCTCCTCGTTGCCAGGGTCTCGGTTGTGGAAGATCATCGTGTACCTGGCTATGTCAGCTGATGGTCTCACCACTTTCATCTTCTGCATCTCGACCCTGCAAGAAGCAATAGTGCTATGAGGTAGAGAACACTTATGAACCAGGTGTTAAGGAAAGAATGCAGCATTTGGAGACTTCATCTCTTGTAGAGGCCATGGAAGCAATCAGAGAGAGCTATAGAAAACTCATCTGCATCTCCTCCACAACCCTTTTTGCCAGAGGAATGAAGCTCAGAGTTGGATTTCTGGAAAACAGGTCCAGTAGGGTGACAGATATTCTTTCTTTTGAACAGAAGCAGTTAGCTACTACAGTAGAGATCATGCAGAGCTTTAGGCACACTTTATACAGAGTATGTTTACTTAGTATTGACTGGTCTGCTCTATAGCAAGTTTCCACATGTTTTCATAGCCTCGTAGTTTCATAGAATGTTATGGGGTTGGAATGGACCTTAGAGATCATCTGGTCTCAACCCCCTGCCCTGGGCAGGGACACCTCCCACCAGAGCAGGTTGCTCAAGGCTTCATCCAACCTGGCTCTGAACACTGCCAGGGTTGGAGCAGCCACAACCTCCCTGGGCAACCTCTGCCAGTGTCTCACCACCCTCACAATAAAAAATTTATTCTTAATACTTAACCTAACATTCCCCTCTTTCAATTTATACCCATTTTTGTAATGGGTATTTTTTTGTAATGAGTAACAAGTTCATCTCAACTCCTGCACTAAAACCCCTATACTTGATAGGAAGAAAAACGCTTGTTTTCTTTTTTAATTGTTGGCAGAGCTGCAAAATACTAGTTTGTTCACATGAAGAAAACTTATTTAAGAACAATGCTAGAAGCACTGAGCCTTGTGCATGGGTTTAAGTGTCTGACATCAGGCACTTGGTTGAAGCTTTTGACCATCACATCTGTAAAGCACAATGATTTTGCTCTGACAGCAGAAAAGGTTAATTTCATGACAATGAAATTAAGGAACAGTCCACCTCTTCTGGTCACTCGGCAGCGGAAAGAACAATAAGAAACCAAGATTTGAAAAAAACTGAGCCCCTTACAGGTTTCCAATTACTTTGTAGCAGTAAATTATGAAACAACTACAACAAATGAGCTGAAAAATCTCTTGGTGATGCACGACTTAGGAAGAAGCACAGAAGAGACCGTTATGTTTAGCCTAAAGGCAAAACAGTAGGAGCCAAGAGCCCTCAGGCACCGAGTTCTGAAAGCACCGAAGGGATGCTGCCATCTGCTGATCTCTCTCAGGAAGGCTGCAAGGATCTCTCCGCACAACACAACCCACAAAACGGCAAGCTTCCCACTCCCTACCTCCTGCAAACTTGGCCCCAGCTCAGCCCAAGACCGACATGAGAGGAAAGGCACAAACCAAGTCCAGCTGCAGTGTGCACGCTGGGTTATACCACTTGGTTTCTACACCAAGACCTCAACAGCTGCAAAGTTATGAGGTGCCACATATAAGCAAGCATCACTTTTGATTCCAGCCCCTTGCAACCATCGTAGAGACCCTCAGTAAATCCTGCTGGCCTGCTGCACGGCTGGTTCTCTGATGCCCACAGGAACATCCAAAAGAACACCACTATCAACCCAAGGGAAACCAGGGAATAAGAGAGTACCCAGCCCCAACCACCACTATAAAAGCCAGATCCCAGCAGGTCACAGAGAAGAAGTTGGTGTGCCTAGGTAGGGGTAGAAAGGAAGAAAAGTTTGTGATTAAGAACGGACAGAAATCTGTATCTCCAGCACTTGAGATACAGCTGACTGATCTGCTGAAATGACAGAGAAAAAATTTCATTTGGAAGTTCCTAAGTTTAACACACTTGTAATTATGTAACATCACCAGGGATACGGATTTTATGCCCCCAAAATGTTTGCTTGCATATTCAAACAACTGAAAAGGAGACCCATTTAAGAATGACAGAGTATAACTTGAGTTACAAACTGACAGGCTCTGCCAGCAGTTCATGGGGCTGTGGGTTTTCTTTCTGTTGTTTGCTTGTGGGGTTTTCCCCCTTTGCTAACAGCAGTGCAGGTTAGAGGTTTCTTCCTAGGCAAAGAGCAAAGATCAACATAGAAGTTTTGTTGACTTCTTTGTCCCACTAAGCCTTTCCAACTAACTAATTTCTCCTACTTTCACAGGCATGTCTGCAAAACTAGTTTTAACAAGAGCAAAGGGTGTATGCATATACGTACAGTATGTCTAAAATTCAAGTTATTTGCTATCTTTGCTATAATCAACACCACACACATACAAACTAAGCCCTGCTTGGAGTAAATCCCAGTAGTCAATGAATGCAAAACACCCAATCCCACCAAAACCAAAACATTCCCACGCTTTTACAAAGTACTGGAACTCAATACATTGGTATCTCTGGCAAACCCCACTCCAGGCTTCAATCTCCTAATTTCCATTATAAGCAATTTCCAAGCAAGAATACAAATACTGTGTGGCTGAGACAAAAACCAAACAAATAACTTAACCCACGTACCCAACCAACAATGCTGTCAGGAAGACGACTGGGTGTCAGGTATGCCTAACCTTTGCAAAGAGGAAACTGCTCACAGAACTGCATCTCACACTTCAAATCCTCACCTGCAATACTGTTTTGAACTGAAGGTCCCTGTAGTGTTCTACTTTTGGAGGATAGGTGTGAAGTTACACGATTTGTTGGAATTTTTTTCAAGCAATTCCTCATTGTTTACCTGATTCTAAGGTCATCATCTTCTCCACCCCAGCCCCAGTAGCTGTTGGAGAATCCATTCACTTTGGAAAACTGATCTCTTGTTAGAGCAGTTACACCTCCAAAATATCCTCGGTACCGTAACCTGGAAGTACACAAGAAGGGAGAATGAAGAATTAAAAATCAAATTCTAACAACATTGAAAGTATCACCCTGAAACTCCACATGTAGACTTGTCTTTCCCATAGTTAAGGGTGCACAAATCCTTGAGGCTGGTTACGTTCTCTTTGTCTTTTCACAAAGAGATGGTGATTTGCTTTATGCCAGAAAAAGTTAACTCTCCACCTGAGAGAACAGAGTCTTCTTCAGTAGTTTGTCTCTATTTACATGATTCCCCTTGCCAGCCGAAAAGGCACTTCCCCTCTGGGACTCTGATGTGTAGGAAAGGTACAAAGCTATGCACTAACACAGCAGAAGCTTTGTAATAACGATAATGAACCACTGACTGTCTTAGAGCTGAATCTGGAAAACCCGAAATGAAATCAGCTCACACCAAGGGGGCCACATGCTATGGGATATTGCAGGAACAACTCCAAGGTAAGGTACATTGCAAGTTACTTAGTAACCTGATGTAATGGAGCTCAGCTCTAAAGGAGATTAATTTCTAACTTCTACCTTCCTCAGCCTGAAAACTGCACCCACTTAAAAAAGGTGTTTACATTCCATGCTTATTTATCTTCTTATACCATTCTGCTAATTGATTTTCATGCTGCCTTCCTCTCTCTTGGCCCTTAAGGTAACATTACAACACAGCCTCTACTTCCTTGCTGCTGCCAGAAGTGATGGGCACATGGCTGCAGATTACATTGTGATTTCTACATGCATGTGAATCTAAACAGATGAACAAATTGCCAGGGCTAGAAAGTATTCATTATGGCAACTTACATGCCAGACAGCAAAGGTGCAATGCTTATTATTATTTCTGGTTTACCATGAATATAATTTATAAACACCAAGAGAAAAAAAACAAACAATCCAAAAGCCACAACACACAACCTCCCTCAGACTATTTTTCCTGGTTGATTTTTGCTCCTGTCATAGCATCACAGGAGAATTGTGATGGTTAAAGGGGCTTCTGGAGATCAAGTACTCCAACCCCTCTGCTCAGAGAAGATTCTGCTACAACAAGTTGCTGAGGACCATGTCCATTCAGGTTCAGAGCATCTCCAAGGATGGAGACTCCACAATCTCTCTAGGCAGCTTGTTCCAGTATTTAACCACTCCCACAGTAAAAAAAGCTTTTTCACATTTAAATGGAATTTCCTATACTTCAGTTTGTGCCCACTGCCTCTTGCTTTTCACTCTACTCCCTTCCATCAGATATGTATACACATTGACAAGATCCCCCTCTGCCTTCACTGCTCCAGGCTGAACAGTCCCAGCACTCTCAGTCTCCCTTAACATGTCAGATGTTACAATACCTTCATCATCTTCATGGCTCTTCTCTAGACTTGCTTCAGTATGTCCATGGTTTTTTGTGCTGGGCAACCCAGGATTGGACACAGCACTCCAGGTATCATCTCCATGGTGCAGAGTAGAAGGGAACAATGACCTCCCTCAACCTGCTGACAGCTCCCCTCCTAATGCAGCCCAAGATGCTACGGGACTTTCTCACAAGGATATATTGCTGGCCCAGATTCTTTTCTGTAAAACTGCTTTCCAACCAGTTGGCCTCCGGCACCCACTGGTGCATGGAGTTACTTCTCTCCAGGTACAGGACTCTGCATTTCCCTTTGTTGAACTGCTATAAT